AGTCTGAGAGGAAAAGATACACATGGACATTTTAAACCCTCTGAGCCTAGCACTGTGATGCAGTTGTGCTGCACCATCCCTCCCCAGCACTGACAGCAATACTTGAGACCAATGTGATGCCAGAGCTAAGATAGAAAATACATTTTATCAGGGCCTCTGATACTTTCAGAGCTTCCCCTCAACTCTGCTTCATTCTGTCTCCAGAATTTGGGGAGTTTAATTTGTTCATGGAGTAAGATTTTCCACAAAGGACTTGTTAAAAAAAATCATTGGTGATTTACTGTAGCCTTCAAACAGGGCACCTTTCAATGCCAAAACAAGCAATGAGCAAATAAGGAGGGAGAAGGTGAGCCTGGATCTGCAGCAATATGTTCATCCCTGTTCAAGGATCCTTGGTGAGCTCTGAGCAGGGCTGCTGGTCTGGGGAGTGGCCAAGTAAGTGACAGCTCCCAGATTTAGCTGAGAAGACAAAGTAATGCTTGACTCTAGGGTTACAGCTGCCACCTGCTGTGCTGATATCCTTGTGACAACTGGAACTGCAATGCTCACCTGTCATCGTCATGACATCTGCCTAGGAATACGCATGGGCTTTGTGGCAGGGCCCTTCTAGTTTTTATTATCTAGAGCTATCAAAACTGTTACCTGGAAAAGTCAAGATAAAGGAAGAACAGTTTGTTGTTAGATACTGCTGGCTTGAATGGGAAGACCTTTGAAACAATGTTGAAATCCTGCTGTTTACCTCAAAATGTCCTTGCACAGGATTAGACTGAGGTAATTAGCTCCTACTGTAGCTGTTTGCAGTGATGCATGTTGATACAAACTAGGCTATCAATTTGATTATGAAAAGCAATGAAGTGGAAGGCAATAAGGTCAGCACATGTTGATGGGGATGGATAAGCACTTTCCTTGCACACCCACAACAGAGCTCAGCAGCATCAATATCTTTTTCCAAGCTTTTCCAAATAGAAATAGTTTTAGAAGGGATAATCTTCTTGTTAAACTTGAGGTGACTCATGAGACAAGCACTGTCTCCTCCTGCTTAGTATGTCAAGGCCTGAAAGTTAAATATTGGCTTAACTGTGATCAGAGCAGGAAGTTAAGAACATTGCTGTCAGTCACCTCCTTAAGACATGGCTTACAGAGCTGCTCTCTTGACCACCTTTCCTCTTCATTACAGTTGCTGCTGTTAGGGGTAGAACAGACCAGGACAGGATGGGGCAAGTAGCTGGGTTGTAAGCATTTAAGATCATTCCTGTCATATGCAGCTTTTGAGTGTAGTCAGAGGCAAGGTAGCTTTTCAGGTATTTAAGGTGCCTGAACAACAGACCAATGCTCCAGGGGCTTTGCAACTTCAGGCACCTACATGCATTTCTAGGCTTTCTGCACCTTGGTTCCTGTTTCTTCTCCTGGGGCACCAAGATGATACATTTATGAAGGGCTGTACATGATCAGACCCTATGGCAGTGGGTCTGCAGAGGGATTTGAAAAGGCTTTCAAATAGGAAATGTGTTTTAGCAGTACCTTGGAATGGTTGCCTAAGGCCCCCTTCCCTTCCACACTGTGCTGCCCATCCTGACCCTGTGCTGAGGGTTGTGTTTCACAACATGAGCCAAAATGTTGACAGGGTGGCATTTGATTATTCCCCAAGTAGCATCATTGGGAATGTTGCTGACACAAGATATGCAGCCCACAGGCAACTCTGAATAAGGTAATTGGCATCGCAGGCTTGAAATGCAGCCTCTCCAGGAGGGACTTAGTAGGCTGGAATGTGTTAGCTCTGGGATCCAGCACTCCTTGGAAACAACACAACTGGGCTGCTGCAACTCCTGGAACTGCAATGTTTCTCTGTGTGCTGCTTTTGATGGTTCAGTTTGGACATACAGTAGATGAAACAGCTCAAACGACATTCCAGAAAACCTTTGATACTGAATGGTATGAAGTAAAGCCAGCACAATGAAACTGTCCTTTTGGCTTGCTGGCCGGACCATGCACAAATTCATTCCTGTCAAACCTCTGACACCTCTTCACCACATCTGGCATTTTGACCTTTTGGCCTCCTATGACATAGAATCATAGAATCATAGAATCTTAGGGGCTGGAAGGGACCTCGAGAGATCATCTAGCCCAACCCCCCTGCCAGAGCAGGGTCACCTAGAGTACATCACACAGGAACTCATCCAGGTGGGTTTGAATGTCTCCAGAGAGGGAGACTCCACAACCTCCCTGGGCAGTCTGTTCCAGTGCTCTGTCACTCTTACAGTAAAAATTTTTTTTCGGATATTCACCTTGAACCTCCTATGCTCCAATTTACACCCATTACCCCTTGTCCTATCACTGGTCATCACTGAGAAAAGCCTAACTCCATCTCCCTGACACTCACCCCTTACATATTTGTAAACACTGATGAGGTCACCCCTCAGTCTCCTTTTCTCCAAGCTAAAGAGACCCAGCTCCCTCAGCCTTTCCTCATAAGGGAGATGTTCCACTCCCTTCATCATCTTTGTAGCTCTGCGCTGGACTCTTTCAAGCAGTTCCCTGTCCTTCTTGAACTGAGGGGCCCAGAATTGGACACAATACTCCAGATGTGGCCTCACCAATGCAGAATAGAGGGGGAGGAGAACCTCTCTTGACCTACTAATCACACCCTTTCTAATGCACCCCAGGATGCCATTGGCCTTCTTGGCCACAAGGGCACATTGCTGGCTCATGGTCATCCTCCTGTCTACCAGGACCCCCAGGTCTCTTTCACCTACACTGCTCTCCAGCAGTTCAGCCCCCAACCTGTACTGGGACATGGTGTTGTTCTTCCCCAAATGTAAAACTCTGCACTTCCCCTTGTTGAATTTCATCATGTTTCTCCCCGCCCAACTCTCCAGCCTATCTAAGTCTCTCTGAATGGCAGCACAGCCTTCTGGTGTGTCAGCCACTCCTCCCAGCTTAGTGTCATCAGCAAACTTGCTGAGGGTACATTCTATACCCTCATCCAGGTCGTTGATGAAGATGTTGAACAACACCGGTCCCAGTACCGACCCCTGAGGGACTCCACTAGTCACACACCTCCAACCAGATTCTGCCCCATTGACTACAACTCTCTGACTCCTTCCTTTCAACCAGTTCCTAATCCACCTCACTACCTGATCACCAAACCCATACCTGATCAACTTATCTACAAGGATGCTGTGGGAGACGGTGTCAAATGCTTTACTGAAATCAAGATAAACCACATCTACCGCTCTACCATCATCTATCCACCTAGTAATTTCCTCGTAGAAGGCTATGAGGTTAGTCAAACATGATTTACCCTTGATAAAACCATGTTGACTGCTCTTGATGACCCCCATGTCCTTGATGTGCCTGGAGATAGTGCCAAGAACAAGTTGTTCCATCACCTTTCCAGGGATGGAGGTGAGGCTGACCGGTCTATAGTTACCCGGGTCCTCCTTCTTGCCCTTCTTGTAGACTGGAGTGACATTTGCTATCCTCCAGTCCTCAGGCACCTCTCCTGTTGCCCATGACATGGCCATAGTGTTTGGTCAGCTGGAGTTAGGAGCTGAACCTCTGCCTGAGAAGTTTCTCATTCTGTTCCTTTAATCCTGGATTGAATCATCAAACCCTTTTAATTCATAAGGTGGTTTTTTTGCAAAATCACACCAAAGCAGAATTTAGCCTTTAGCCTCAGCTTCCCTGGACTGAGAAAACACCTAAATGCTCTCATGGAGAGAACAGCTGAGTTTTGCTTCTGGTCAGCCTTTCCCTGGCAGTGCTCTTCCAGTGAGTACTTCCCCATTCCACTGAAAGCCTTGCTTATTCCTATAAGTGGTTTCAGTTCTCCTCTAAAACTGATGTCATCAGACACACTTTTTTACCACACCAGTGGCAATCAAAAGGCTATGCTTTCCTCTTAATGAAAATAAAAAAACCCTCTTCTGTCCCCTAGGTAAATACCATTTAGTTTCCTTCTGGTAAAGGTGCAGTGCTGAAGGAATTTGGCTCTCAGTCTGCATTGGTTTTGGTTCATTCCAGCCCTGGAGGTGAGTGTGCTGGTAACAGGAGCAGAGGAGGGGTCTGCAATCTCCATCATGCAAATGGAGCATGTTCCTCATCAACAGTGAAAGGTGGAAGGAAGAAGCTCAAGGCCTCCCTGGTCTCATTCATAGATTACTGAGTGGATGAACTGAGATCATTGTCAATTGAGATTGAGAGTTGTACTGAGATTAATGTAAATCCACACATTTCTGCCTACCTGGACTGTGATCTTGGCTGCTTTGTCCTTTTAGAGAAGGAAATGAGCAGCAGCTGAGCAAGGTGTCATAGCAGCATCAAGACTGCATGAACCTGCTGCAGAGATGAAAAAGGCTTTTATCTTTCCTCACGCAGTACAGAGCACAGCAGGACCTGGAATTTCACCAAATTGCTGCATCAGGTGCAATTACCACAGTTTCAATGACTGCTTTAAAAGCAAACTGCATTTCATGGCCTGTTGTTTTGCCTGAATCATATATCCAAGGGTAGAACACCAATATATATTTAAATCTTTTACTTTACCATGATACATTCAATTCTTTTAGGTTTGCACACATTTGCACCTGAATGGATCAGTGGTGTAGGTAAAAAGCAAATAAAGTTTGTTGTGAATTTTGCTGTATTTTCAGTAAGCTGAATCTGGAATTTGAACTTGAATCTTAACTCAGCTTTAAAGCAGTCCAGTTCACAATACGTTTGAAGAAGATGCAAGAAATAAAGGCCTATTATTTAAGTGCAAAGATATGATGATTGCAGAGTACCAAGAAGTAATCATGTCAGTGAAGGGGCCTGTCTGCATGACAGAACATGAGTGGAAAGAGTCTGGCAGCTCTGTGCTGTGTCCCTACATCCCAGATTAGCTGTGCTTATTTGCACTGCACTGTTTGTAGGGTAGGCTACTGTTTCATGCAAGCAAACATAGTCTGGATTTTAATATAATTGTAATCCTAATAAAATTCAGTGTCTTCATGGTGATCCTACACTACTTTTAATTCCCAGTCTTTGAACAGCATAGAGAGAGGAGTGCCATTGTCCTGGTCTGAGATAGTGTCTTGGAACACAACATTATCCAGTTTTGTGCTGCTTAGCTCCTTCATTGCTGTTAACATTTCTGTTTCTTGAGTCTTTGGGAGCTGCAGTTTATTTGCAGAATGTGAGAGTGGATCTGGGAACATCCACCGCTCTGTGTTGCTGTCTCCAGGGAAGTTGTTGCCAGTCCTGCCTGAGAGAAGGGCTGCTGATGGAGATTTATCCTCTGCAACACAGTCTGTGTCAGCTTCCATGGAAGACAATGTCAGTGGCAGTTCTGGTGTCTGTTTCCTATAGCATTCTTCTTGTTCCAGCAAAGACAGTGGCTGCTGGGATACATACCCTTGACTTCCCATCCCATCGCTCCACAGCAGCAGTTGCTGGTTTTGCCCAGGGCTCCCCTGTAAGACAACTGACTTTCTTGTGTCCCTGCTGTTCCACAATGCCAAGTTTGGCCTCTGTTCTTTGTAATTCCAATGGCTGCAGCTCTTGCCCTGCATCTGGGTTATGAGCTTTCCACCAACAAAATTATCTTGAGAAACTTCCTTTAGCATTTGGTTTGGCTTCAAATTCTTCTCATCAACATGGTCCATGCCTTTACCACACACCCCATAGGTTAGGGGCAGCAACGTGCTGGACGTGGCAGAAGGAACACTTTGCTCAGCTGTTTGAGGAGCGTAACCAGTGGGAGCTGTGCTTGCCAAGCAGGATGGCTGAGAGGGCAGCTGGAATGTTGGTACGTCCATCTGTTCCTGATAGGCAGCTTCTGGGGGATGGGAAGACCATGGTGGCTCCAGTTCTCTGCCCAAATGTTGGCTGAGCTGTGGTAATTGCACTTCAGGGATGAAAAATGAAGGTATGGTTAAATTAATGGGCTTTATAATGTGTTCCACTGTTAGTGTAAGAGGCTGGAACGATGAAATCCCTTGGAAGTCCTGTTGAAGCAGGTAGACAAGCATGAATTAATAACAAGAAGCTGCGAGTTTGAAGGTAACAAATCATCTGTACCTGTGGCAGGATGACCAGATTTTAACTGCCAAGATGGCCTAGGCAATGTTCTTGTTTGCTCATTCATCCTCCTCAAATAGCAATGCTAATAAGATGCTTGCATGTGGTCCTGAGCACTTCAGAGGTCTGCTGCAATGGCTCAGGAACACTTACCAAAGACATAGGCTGGGCACTGTGTTGCTTGATGTATTTATAGATCACGTAGCTGATGGCAGCACACACCAGTCCAGCACAGAACGCCAGTGCCACCAAGCAGTAGAGAAGCCATGTGTTGTCTGGTTAGAGGGGAGAGAACAAGTGGAAAATGTAGCTTCAGAAAGCTGGATAGATAAACTGCATGGGATTAGCTAAATGATGTTATAGGTCTAGTCTCATAGGACTAGTTTTTTAAACCAAGAAAGTTAGTGTTTCTTCAAGTTCTTTAGCAGGGCTATGTTATTTTATACCAGCTGAAAATGTCTCTTTCGTGTTTCCATAGTAAAGTTAACAGACTCACCTGCTAGTGTTTTAACCCAAAATACTTGAGATTTGCTCTTTCTATGGAGGAGATACATATATACTGTCCCGTTATATTCAGTATCTGGGTCCAAGTTGGAAACTTCAAATTCTTTGTCGTGTTCATTCTTTATCCACTATTTAAAATAAAGACAGATTCTGAATTTTAGAAAGAATAAATGCATATCATTTATTTAAATCATATTGCAAAATTCAGCCTGAATCTTTATTTGCAAATATGGTTTTATAGGACTGTACTAATTCTATATATAAGGAATTCTAAATATATAATTTGCGTTCTATTGTTACAGTATTTAATTTTTGCATTTCAGTTCCTTAAGACCTGAACTAATTCAGGAGTTCTCTTTTTCAGTCACCAGTGGTTTTACCTTTTGCTCCTTAGACAGCACCCTGGGAAACTCCAGTTTTCTTTCCAGAATTTTAGGGGAATCCTTAAAGTTCCTCTTGTCTACTCAAAGACCCTGAGACATTCCCTTGCACATCAGAAATCTCATCCATCATGTATAAGCTCTTAGCTCCTCCTCCATCTTATGCAAAATGTGATTCACAGAAGTCAGTGGGCTTGTGGCCTCAGGTTGTGCTTTACCTTTTGGTGTGTCCTTTGGTTGAATAGTGTTAAGTGATAATCAACAGCACCAAATTTGCTATAAATGTCTTCTACGGTTAGTTGGTAGTCATCCTCACCTCTCAGTGGAGTATAGGGAGGCCGTATAAGAAACTTTATGGACCGTACATAAGGAATATACTCCACTTCTGGTGCTCCAATAGTAGCTAGAAAAGATACAACAGGCAGTGTTAGCTGTTAAAGTTTAAGCTGATGCATTATCAGATCATCTTATACACAACCCCAAGACTCACTGTCAATTATTACTTCTGTTCATATTTGAAAAGCTATTTGAGGTGTATTTAACTGAGCATAGGAAAAGTCAGGCAACTGGAGATGTTGCCTTCCCTTGGGGTTCTGCTACCTTTTCCCATTGTGTGTTCCTAGAAGTCCTCACCCAAACTTTTCCTGAGGACCACGTTCTCACGGCTTCCATGTTGTGTCTCTGGGCTTCCTCCTTCAGGTGTGTCAGGGAAGGCCCTGCCCATGTGCCCACTGGTCCACCTGCCTCCTTGCTCAACAACAAGCTTCTACAGGCCTTCACCCCCTTCTTATCAAGCATCAAGTCTTGCAATAGTGACATGAGAGGAAATGCTGTCCTAAACATCAGTGAGACTTGGAAGGAATCCCTAGCAATCAGGACAGGATAGATTCCAGTAGCAGTACGTACTCTCTTGCCTGGGTTCAAACCTGTCTGAGCACTTCCAGTCAGAGGAGCAGGAGTTCTGGCCAAGGGCCCTCACCCTAGCGTAGTAATGCTCTGTGAAGTTTTCTGTTTCACGAGTGAGGTTGCAGAAAGGCCGTGAGATCCCCTGGCATTCACTCTTGTTAAGCCAGGGTCCTCCTCCATACCTTAGGACAAAAAAAGCTTTCAGCCTGTGTGGCAGAACAGATGCGATACAACCCTTCTCCAGAATGATCCAAACGGGCTGCTTTGCCAACTCTTACTAGTGTTTTAATTCATTATTGCAATTAGCAAGTGGCGGGGAATGAAACGACAGAGAAACTTCTGGACTAGAGCCCTTCATCTGTTTCCATTGATGGCTTCTGTGTGCATATGGCCTTGAGAAAGTGCTGATTATTTCAAGGCACACACAGGAGTGACCGTGAGTCAGCAACACTGAATGTTTGCATGCAAGTTTGCTGCAGAGTTTGCAGACTTATACAAAGGTAACAAAGCTATTGGGTAGCTAACTAAGACAACTAACTTGCAGAGAGTAGCTCAATAATGGAGTAAAGCTAGCAATTCAAGCTGTAAAACTATTTGCCTAACTTCACTAAGCATTATCTACCAGTTTAAATAAACCTGTCTTTCACTGAGTTCTTGTTTAAGCAGAACCATCCCTGCAACAGTAAAACAAGCAGCAGAAACCACAAAATCTGCTTTTCTTTCTTGGCCCCTCTCTCTCTGAGAACAGTGGCCCTAAGAATAGCAGAACACCAAAAAGAAGCAAACTTCACATACTGTTTGTATTGGACATCAAATACAGTGCCAGGGGCAGTATCTGCTTCAGTTTCCCATGTCAGGATGTTCTCAAAATTTGTAGAAGAAAATGCTGCACGTTTCACACATGGTGACCTCTTCGTAGTCACAATGCCTAGGGGAGCAAAGATACTAGTATTAAAATGCATATTCTGGCATCTCAGCCCTCAGATTAACAGGGTCCAATGCTGCTCAGCTTCTTAGTGAACAGAAGTATCAGCCATGGCACTTTCAGTTTGCTAGAGATGGGCTGCAAAGCAGAAGCTTGAAGAGAACAGGAATTCAAACTGTGCACGCATCATCCTATACATCATGTGGATTGTGACTCATTCCAAAAAGATGTAAGTCAGGAATTCTTATAGAAAGGCCTCAAAAACTCAGAAGTTGTAAAGAGAGTCTTTAAGTTCCTTACTAGGTTTCTTTTAGAGCAGTTAAATGGCTAGAAAACTAAGAACAGCCTGTTTTCAAGGCTAGATAAATGTTGATAGAGATCTCTGCCTTCTGTCCATATTCAGGGAAGCAACATGCTGAGATCAGTGTCACATCACTGAAGACTTGGCTGCCACTAACCTCTCGTGCTCTGTTTTGCTGGCTGGAGGCTGCCTGTACAGGGCGGCACACAGAGACCTGGTGCCTGGACTCTGATCTGGGTGTGCCAGGGTGAAGGCAAACAACTCAGCTCCCAGATCCCTCAGCCCTGTGCCTCCTCCCCAAGGAGGACGGGGTCTGGCTTTGGTAAACATAAATTACAAACATGCCTCTGGTCTGAGCTGCCTCTGTAGAACAGAGTCCCACCCTAAGCCACCTGCAGCAAACTGGCTCTGAGCAGAGAAGTGTCCCAGAGACTTTTGGTCTCTCCTGTTGTTAGGATACACAGTGCAAAATGTTCTCAAGGCTGATTCACAACTCCATCTAACTTGCAGAGTAACCTTCAGAATTGATAAGCTCTGTACATTCAAATTATAGACACATCCTCAAAGATAGATAATTCATACATTACTCAACTCTTGGTTTGCAGCATCAATAAACACCTGGAACATGGGTGGGCTTGTCACAGAGGAGAGCAAAAGGGGCTCTGCAGCACCACGGGGTGTCAGCCTGCACTTGCTGAAAGTGAACAGTCCCATTATGGTGCTGGTAAAGGGACACTCAAAATCAATGAATCCCTTCCATGAAAAAATGGTGTAATAAGCAAGTAAAAGTAGCACCATTTTACAGATGGGAAAACTAAGAACAAGAATGGGGGTGACTTGGGCAAGAGCACATTGAGCAGTTATGGTAGAGCAGGGACTAAACCACACAAGTTCCTGCACCCTCACTCCAGGCTTTCCTTCCAGCTGCCTCCATGGAGGAGAACCAAGTGTCAGCCCTTCAAGCTAGCCTGCAGTAGAGGAGAAGGAGGCAGAAAGGCATAGATACAGTTCTCAGTCTGGTTATAGATGACATTTTGGCTGGGAAGCAGTGCAGAAGTGGATTGCAGTCTAGTCCACACTTCGTTCTGACCTCATCTCTAGTTCAGCACTTCCCTCATCTCAGGTACAGCTCAGTGCAACCTTCCTGGCCAGGCAGACAGGGAGCATTCAGTACACAGTGGGTACATTTCCCTGCCTGAATACCATCAAAACTGAGTCACCAATACCCTGAATGTATCAGAAGTAGGAAATCTCAATCTTCCCACGTTTATCCATACTGAAGCACAGTTATGCAAAGCAGCAGAATACAAGCACAGTCAAGCGTGGGCAGGGAAAAACCAGGATATATCACAGTGTGAAAGTCCCTCTTTTTCAGAAGTTTCTGAAGGCTCCTTCCCTACTTTTATACTAAAGCAGGGACACAAGATACACCCAGGAGTTTGCCACATCTGGAGTAGGATTAAATGGCTTTTAGGGACACATTATTAATTTGTACCTCTTTTAAAATCAGGACTATTCTTATATAATTTATATCCCTGCTTAGGACACAGGGGAACTGATCCAAGGCCCCCTGAAGTCAATAAATATCATTTACTTGTGTAGGATTTGGGATATAATGCAGCAATAGCAAATGGTTTGAAGTAAAGGAATCTTTTAGTCTCCCTACTAATCCCTAAAGCACTGGGCACACCAACTGTACTTTGAAAATATTAAAGGTAGAGGGCAACACAGAAGGGAGCTTTTGAACAACCTCAGGCAACAGTTCATTCTCTAGGTCTTCTTTCAGTCAGTATAACTGAACCTACCTCCCATGCTACAGGATCAAAGAGAAACAACCACTGTCAGCGATAGGAAAAGAGAAGTCGGGACTTACCGACCACTGAAAACACAGCCAAGACGCTCACAAGTTCCTTCATGAGTAACTATGCAAGCTGGGCTGGAAGAGCAGGCAGTTGATCCTCTGTGCAGGTGAATCACCTTTAACAAGAGTTAAATTCTTGTTTGTGAGGCCAGGTTGGATCTGTTGCTCAGTCAGAGGCTGCAGAGCTGCTCTCCCACCTGCATTCAGGTCTGAGATCAGCTGAAGACCTGTGCGCATGTGTAAGGGAGAATGGAAGGGTGACAACAGACGCTCCCTGTCCCTCCTGAGTGTGCACACCTAACTGTGAACTGTACAAAGGTGCACTAGGCAGAGGCTGAGAAAATCCCCAGCTTTTGGAAGAGAGCCAAATACTATTTTGCTGATAAAAAACTTCCTGCCTGAAAACCCTCACTGGAGTTTCTTAGTTTTGGGGCTTGCTTTTCTGGTCAGGTAACTTTAACTTGTCTAGAAATTAAAACTTAGTGCTGTGCACTTAGTTGGCTCTATAACTGCTGCAAGCAAGACACCTATTTCTTTAAGAAGTATCTTTGAATGCCTTCTTAAAATGAAAGTCAGCCAGATCACTAGTTTTTCAGCTCTTCTACTGCTCATACTGGCCTTGGATGGGATCCAAGTGAGTAGAGTGTAGCCCTGCTGCATCCTGGGCAGGGCCCAAGCTCTTCAAGTCTGTTCTGACTCTGCTCTACCAGGTGTATGCAAAGGTTCTCTCAGTTGACATACAGAGGAGGGAGGGACACGTGCTGCCCTGTGGCTTTTCTCAGAGGCTGCTGTGGACCTACAGATTATTTTGACCCAATATAAGGCTCTGTTCTGAGTATCGTAAGTGCCATATGGTAAGAACTGCGAGTTTGTATGAAATCTAAACAAGAAAGAGATATAGTTCCTTTTCCAGAGGGTTCTTAGGTTTTTAGGGTGTTGTTAACTTACATTTCCAGGCTTTTCTCAGAAGAGGGAGAGATTTTTATGTCTTGGTCAAAAGTGAAACCTAATTGCCTCTCTCCAGGAGATGCAGATTTAGAACCACCAGATGTGTAACATCTGAAGAGCTGGTACAGCTGCACACTGCTTATTTTACCCAAGATGGAGGAAGTGTCACACATATCGAGTCTGAATTCGAGGCTTAAAAACTCGCCTAGCCACTGCTTTTGCATTTTCATAGTATAGCTATTGCCTTGACAGAGTGGACAACCTCCCTGTCTTATTTCTCTGGCTCACTTTATCCCACTGTTGTAACTGCTCACTAAATGGGGAGGTCCTGTCCTCGGTCCTTAGTTTTGCCCAGGAGTAACTGGACCATTGCATAAAGCTGAGGTCCTACCAAAGCAAAATGTCTCTTCAAGCACTGAAACCTGTTCAAACTGGGATCACTGCTTTAGCAGAAATATATGCCCTAAGCCATGTGGGACAACTGTGCATGAGACAAATTCCTTATTTTATATTGTCTAAAGCCTATTTAAGGCTCCTAAATGCTAGATTAGTTGTTGTATTATTACAAGTGAGTCCCATAAGCAACATCACACCTGCAGCCAGTTTAATCCAAATACAAGCCATGTGTGCTCCTGAAGCCAAACATCATAGAAAGACTACCCTTCTGCTTTCCTCTTCATCTCAGGGATTTTCTGTCCCTGAAGTCGTTGCTCTTCCCTGCCTTGCTTTGATATAAACAGGGCTGGAAGCTTCAAACCATGCCATGGATGCATGGACAAATGCAAAAGCCTCACAGGTTTAGTACACCAGACACACCTACCCATCAGCATGGCCTCCATCTCATTAAGTACAAATCTTTGTTAGGGTGTTTCCTGAATAGCTTGCTGAAGTATTTCCCTTTTGTTCCTTTCCTTACGTCACTGCCTCTACTCTTCTGTTGTGTGATGACCCATGATAGCATGGGTCATAGCATAGGGGTGAGGGAACCTAGTGCACCTGAGACTTTGGTTTTGAAAATACAACTTAACACTTCATTTCTGCCCTTATTTCTAAAGAGACATTGCCTTTTGAGTAGCCCAGGAAACACCTCTTTAGGTACCTGAAAATCTACAAAAGTCTTGTTCCAAGTTTCAAGTCAAACGCTTGGCTTTCAACTTTCAAACTGTAGAGTTCGAGCCTATGTCAGAAGTTAGTTCCTAAGGACAAAAACAGACTCAGAGGTTTGTAATACAGATTTTCCATGAAACTCTGCTTTTA